TTATCTACGAAGTACCTACCTCTATGCCTGGTACTTAGAGACACTGGGTAAAAGTTAGTTCCCTTCTCTTTTCCTCCCCTACATTCCCACCCTTTGCTACATAGCACTGTAGAGAAATAAACAGAAAGATACATTCCCTGCTCTTCAGTTCTGTGTGTTCCAAAAGGAGATACATTTGATCATTAAAAACCACAAACGCAAATTCCTTTTGTCTAAAAACTTTTCAAGGGTTCAATTTCACCCTTTTCTACTCTTTACTAGGAGAGAGAAGAAAGCGAAAAGATGAACTGAAGAGAAGTTGTGGAGAGCTGTGTGTGATGTGATGATCATTGTGTTAGACACATTAAAAATAAACAGAGTGCTTTGAATACAGAGTTTATTTACAATCTACAAAGTGGAATTATTAACCAGGCCTAAGCTGCAATGGATAAGAAACAACCAGGGCCAGGCACAGTGGCTCACACCTGCAATCCCAGCACTTTGGGAGGCTGAGGAAAGGCAAGTGGATCATCTGAGCTCAGGAGTTCGAGACCAGCTGGGCAACATGGCGAAACTCTGTCTCTACAAAAAAGACAAAAACCAGCCAGCCATGACGGTGTGCACCTGTAGTCCCAGCTACTTGAGAGGCTGAGGTGGGAGGATCGCCTGAGCCCAGGAGGTCAAGGCTGCAGTGAGCCAAGATCGCACCACTGCACTCCAGCCTGAGTGAAAGAGCGAGACCCTGTCTCAAAAAACAAACAAACAAAAAAAGAACCAGCAAAGTTTCCCTGTTTAAGGAGGCACTGTGACAATTAAGAATTCAGAGTACCACAGAAATCTCATTCAACTCATCGGAGCCTTCTTAAACATGTTCTGGACAACCCTATTCTCCTAGAGCCAGGTAGGTGAGACAGATCAGTAACTATAAATCACCAGCAGCCTTTCGAGCTCACATCAGAACCAGGAGAGCCAGAGCAGTGGTTAACTCCATGAACAAATGTGAAGCTACATTCAGGAGGTGAAGCAGGATGTCAGGAGCCCAGGTCAGGAGACAAGAGTTGTAAATAGTGGATGAGGCCTGGGATGGGGTGCTGGCTGAATGGAGCAGTGTCAGCTGATCCAAAAGTGCCAGGCTGGGCCAGGCATGCAGCAGGAGCCAAGTGCCAACCCTGGAAAGGGAGGGGAACAGATGGGAGAGGAGCAGCAACCAGGAAAGAGCCAAAGCTGAAAACAAGTAGAACAAGAACAGGTCAAGGTCAGAACCTCCACTGTTAAATCCAAGCGTGAATGACAGCAAGAACAGAATCCAGAAGCCAGGCTGAGTGCTAGAACAGCTCCTCCAGACCTGATATGCTGTGAGGGCAGGGGTCCCAGCCGCCTTGCTAAGTGCCGTGTGCTCAGAGCCCAGAGCAGTGTTTGGCAGGAGACAACAAGGCCTACATAAATACTAGTTGTCCATGCCATTATCGAAATTGGCAGAAGCCAGTGAACGAACAACATAAGGGGAGCAGGGATGGACTAAATTGTGTGCACAACCTCTGAAAATGGGCCCTTCTCAGTGAGTGCCGTGACCTGTCTTAAAGTGTTGGGATCGATGCAACGATCTTCATCTTATGCACCTCAGACCTTCCCTCTCTCCTTCCTGAGAGCCTGTATTAGTTTCCTGTGGTTGCTGTAACAAATGACCACAAACTTCTGTTGTCTCTAGCTTAAAACAACAGAAATGGGCTGGGCGCCATGGCTCATGCCTGTTTTCCCAGCATTTTGGGAGGCTGAGACAGATGGATCACTTGAGGTCAGGAGTTTGAGACCAGCCTGGCCAACATGGTGAAACCCTGTCTCTACTAAAAATACTAAAATTAGCCAAGTGTGGTGGCATACGCCAGTAATCTCAGCTACTTGGGTTGCTGAGGCATGAGAATCGCTTGAACCCAGGAGGCAGAGGTGGCAGTGAGCTGAGATCACGCCACTGCACTCCAGCCTCAGGAACAGAGAGAAACCCTGTGTTAAAAAAATAATAATAATAACTGTCTTGTGCTTCTTTACTTTAGGTTCCATGAGATGTTATATTTTCAGCAAAAATGTTAATGATGTAATGTGTTTCCTTTCTGTTTTATATCAGGTAATTCCTAGAGATGTAAGGCCTTGGTCAAGAAAACAGCTGTCTAGGGGCTAGGATTTCAGGCCCCACTTGTGCCTCTGAAGAGGCTAGCTTGGAGAAGAGGTGTTTTTTTTTTTTTGGCATCAACCCTTCCATCAGCTCACAGTTTGCACAGGGTTCGCCCCTGTCATCTGGTCACTGGAAATCATGGGAGAGTTGGAAGTACTGTTGGAGCATTCCATCTCCTCCTGGCTTTCTAAATAACTTTTGCATCTTTTTAGTCCTAATCCTTCCCTTTAAAACTAGCTAATAGAAGCTCTGTACTGTGCTAAGTAATTTACAAGCATCTTATTTAATCACTGTAACATTCCCTATGAAGTGGTTACCATCATTTTTGTACTTTGCAGAGAAAGAAACTGAGGCTTCGATATGAAATGGCAGAGCCAGGACTTGAACCCAGGTTCTCTCACTCCAAACCCCATCTCTCACTCCAAAAACCACTCTACTGATGTACCTACTATGGCTCTTCGGATAGCATTTTTCTATCTGGGCTGTCGGAAGCATGATGGGCGTGGCCAAGGGAGGATGACACAAGCTAGTGTGCTGTGATGGAGAGCCACTGGTTCTGCTCCCAGAAAGTCAAGGATTATGGAGTGTGATGGTTGCTGCCTGGGGTGGAAAGTGGGCATGTATATTGATTAGTACCTACCATACTAAGAAATTCCCTTCTCTTTAGAAGTGAACAGTCTCAAATTGGCAAAATATAGAAGGACAAAGGTGTAAAAGGACTGAGCAGAATCTGAAGTTTTCCTGTGAGCATGGAGGAGGGGCAGGGAGAGTGAAGAAGAAAATACAACTGAGAAAATAAGTTTAGTTTTTGGTAAGGTGAGATGTCTTTGACATTCATGAAGGTGTTAGGTAACATAACTGTTCCTTCCCAGCAGGAAGAACATTTGCCTGGTGATGGTCTGTCCGACTAAACTGCCTTCCCTATAGAGAAGGCAGGAAACTAACATTTGAGCATGTAGATTTTCAGACTATTTCCCTTGGATTATTTCACTTCATCCTCAGAAGAAGATGTTCCTCCCTTCATTTTGCAGATAGGGCAGTGGGGCTCAGAGGGCTGGAGTGGTTTGCCCAACATCACTCAACTAGTAATGGCAAAGCTGAGATTTGAGTTTGTCTTCTAACTCCAGTCTCAGGGCTCTAATTTAGATTGCAGTTCATCATTTATTATAAAACCCTGGCAGTGCTCAATTGCCTGTTTCAGTGTGAGGAAGAGTGCGCCTGTTTCACAGCAAGGTGAAATTAGGAAATGTGCAAGGTCACTAGCCTCCTCAACCCTGCCTGCTTTCTTGTCTCTCAACTCCAGCTTTGTCCACTTCTGACTAGAAAACTCTTTCTCAAACTTTAAAATCCACCTCAAGTGCCTCCTGTCTTTGAAGCTGTAGATCCACTACCTTCTGACTCCAGGTAGAATAGCTATTCTTTTATATGTTCTTTCAGACCCATATGCATATGTCCATTAGTAATAAAACACTTTTAATATGCCTGTCTCCCCAACTAGGATGTGAACTGCTCAAAGACAGGGACTATGTCCTATTCCTTGTGGTCCAGCCAGGCCCCGCTAGGGAGGTTAGGCAAGAGTTGTAGGGTCTAAGGCTGTCAGTGAAGTCTACCTTGGCTCTGAACTTCACCAGTGCAATCAGGTAAACCCTGGTCTCTTCCTTCTCCTAGCCAGATGTCCAACTGACTCACGCCTTTTCCTAGAGGCCATAAACATGTCCCTGCTCAGATGCTAGTGCTGAGTTCCACTCTGCTACATGGCTTTGCTGGTGTCCCCTTGCCTATCTCCATGTGGTCTCCATATGTCCCCTATATCCCTGGTCTACCCTGCTGTGTCCCTAACCATACAGACTGGACTTGGCTTGACTTTGCCACTGCTCTGGTGACATCTCTCCTCTCCTTCTCATCACACTCCTGTCCCTGCCACATCACTCCAGGGAAAAGCAAACTGGAATCCTCTCCCAACCACTGGTGTATTAGGCCCTAAGACAGGCACGATAATGACTCTTAAAGACATCATGCCCTAATCCCTGGAACCTATAAATGTACCTAACAAGAAAAAGAGGCCTTTGCAGATGTGATTCAATTAAGGATACTAAGGCCAGGTATGGAGGCTGAGGCAGGTGGATCTCTTGAGCTCAAGAGTTTGAGACCAGCCTGGGCAACGTGGCAAAACCCTGTCTCTACAAAAAAAGAAAAATACAAAAATGTGCTGGGCATGGTGGTGTACACCTATAGTCCCAGCTACTCGGGAGGTTGAGGTGAGATGGACTGCGTGAGCTTGGGAAGTCAAGGCTGCAGTGAGCCGTGTTCTCGCCACTGCACTCCAGCCTGGGCGACACAGTGAGACCCTGTCTCCAAAAAATTAATTAATTGATTACGGATTCTGAGATGGAGAGATTATCCTGGATTATCCAGGTGGGCCCGAAATGAAATCACAAGTGTCTTATAAGTTAGAGAATGAAGAGCATTTTACACACACACACACACACACACACACACAGAGAGAGAAAGAGAGAGAGAGAGAGAAAGAGAGAGAAGGGGGGAGAGAGAGAGAGAGAGAGCCATGTGAAGCCACAGGCAAAGCCTGGATGCAGCCATGAGCCAAGGAATGCCAGTAGCCACCAGGAACCGCAAAAGGCAAGGAGGAGTTTCTCCCCCAGAGACTCTGTGGGGGGTGCAGCCCTGCTACCACCTTGCTTTTGACCCAATGATACTGATTTTGAACTTCTGGCCTGCAGAACTGTGGGAAAATAAATTTCTGTAGTTTTGAGCCACCCAGTTTGTGCTAATTTGTTACACCAGCCACAGGAAACGAATACAGGCCCCAAAGGGATTGACCTTGCTCTCCTAGTTTTTTTTTTTTTTTATTAACCCCGCTAGTTTTACAACTGGCTCAACTGCCTCACTCCTCTGGCTTCTTACAGCTCCTTTCTCTAAGGACCTGAACCAGTGACCACTTAATAGTGAGCACCTATTACATGCCAGGTACTGAGGCTTCACATGGGCTACATCACTAATCCATGCACTAACCCTGTGAGATGTGTATTGAGGCCAAAAGAAGTCAGGTGACTTGCCCATGATCACACAGCTAGAAAATGCCAGAGCTGGGATCTAAAAGCAAGTCTAACTCCAAAGCCTATGGCTGTGATCCTACTGCCTCACTACTCAAGTGGGGGCCATCTCTAGTTGACTGACTGCCAGTTCTCATGTGTTTTTCTCCAAAAGCCTATTGGCATCTCATACAAATAATAAGTGCTAGTATATGGCAGGCATTGTGCTCAGGACTTTACGTACATTATTTTATTTTTCTCATCAGTGCAACTCCACGAGGTAAGACCTATTACCATCCCTTTTTACTGACAAGGAAATTACTGCTAAGTGGCAGACCGGGCACCAGGCCCTGGGTTTCTGGGGTCCTGGACCAGTATCATTTCTTCTGATCTGCTCAGCCTCTCATTTGCACCAGTGTCCTGGGCTATAATTTGACTTGGATTTGGTTCAGACTTCTGAAAGGCCTCTGTGTTGTCCAAAGTTTGGAGGACTTCCATCAAGTTTATGTGTGGAGCTTGCTTGTTAGTTTCCAGAGGGTTCAAAACACCCACAGCACTGCATAAATATTCCACTGCCCAGACATTCACAAACACCCTACCCACATCTTTAAAAGTCTCTCTATCTAGTCCTATCTGTAGTCTCCTCCTCTCCTCATTAGAAGCCTTGAGATAGTTACATTGCAAAATTAACATATTAAAACAAATTTGCAAAATATAAAGTATTATAATGCATTATAACAATGACAATATAAAAATTGGGAAAGAAGAAAAATGTTAAGGATTTCATCAAAATATGTGTCCTAAGTAAAGTCTTTTATAAAAATGCATCTCAATGGAGGTGGATAGAGGGAAGAATGCCAGGGAAGACAGCAAGAATGAGGCAGAAAGCAAGATTCTCTATATTTATAAACCCTGAATACCTAAATGGGTTTATTTAGAATCAGTGGCCATTTGCATGCCTTCATATGAAATGTTGAAAAACTTAATTGAAACAGCAATTCATACAGCACAGCCAACAGACAACAAGTTGCCTTTGGAAGTGAATGAGGACTCCCTGAATTTCCTGGATCATCTTGGTTCTTTTTAGACTTTGCAAAGGAACAAGAACCCAACAAAAGGGAAAAAGAACTCTCCATGATTGTTGACAGCTGTATAACAATGAAAAGCGACCAGGACCTGGCCAGGTGCGATGGCTTACACCTGTATTCCCAACGCTTCGGGAGGCCAAGGTGGGTGGATTGTTTGAGCTCAGGAGTTCAAGAAAAGACTGGACCACATGGTGAAACCCTATCTCTACCAAAAATAAACATTAGCCAGGCGTCTCAGCTACTGAGGAGGCTGAGGTGGGAGGGTCTCTTGAGCCTAAGAGTTGGAGGTTGTAGTGAGCTGAGATTGCACCACTGCACTCCAACCCGGGAGACAGAGTGAGACCCTGTCTCAAAAAAAGAAAAGAGAAAACAGGACCAGTAACAGAGAAATCTGGATTTCAGTCCTACTTCTTCTCTTATATGCTGTGTGATCTTGGACAAGTCACTTCCCATCTCTGAGCTTCAGTTTTTTCCATCTGTAGGTAATCTCTATGGTACCTTCAAATTCTACAAGAATATTTTTAACTAAAATAGCATCATAGCTATGCTTCTCATTTTTGCTTTTGCTTTTCTTCTCACAGTCACATAATCAACTAAGAGAATGAGGCAAGGAGTTGTGGTTGCTGCTGAACACACACATTTATCCTGAGGGCAAATGTAGACTTTGGTTTAAATTCTTCTGATGAAACTGCGTCTCACACCCAAATCCCAAGTTCAATGGACTGTTCTTGAGATGCCAGCCGTGGCAGCCTTGCTAGGGAGGAGGTCCGTGATGGCCTCTGTCTGAGTCTGTTTCATTGCAACACTCCCAGAAAGGCAGCCCTGTCATTAAGCTCACAAAGTAAACACTGTCTTCAGCAAAAGCTGGAGTTAGCAGTCACCTAAAGGCAATTGTGCTCCTTTAAGGGGAAAGCTTTCAGCGTTCATTGCTCCACCAGTGCTGGCCTTAAAACTTGAAATCAAACGCAGGGCTCCCAAGGCGCTGGCCTTTCATCCAAAACCACCAAAGCCTGTGGGCAGGATTCAGAATTATGTTTCACCAGCTGGTCCAGGCCACAGTTTGTCTGGGGAGAGAAACAGACACAGGGAACAAAGAGACGGAGGTGGGAAGGTGGTAAGAAAAGGGACTTTCTGCTGTTATTGCCACAGAGCTAAGGGTGGTATTAACATAATCAGAATATTTCACCCAGAAGTTCAGAATGTAGATGTATTAATAAGCATTTCTTGCCCTAAACATTTATCGTAGGCATGTTAAGTTTTTACCATGTCATTTTTGTTCTTTCTTTTTTTTTTTTTTTTTTTTTTTTGAGACAGGGTCTTGCTCTGTCACCCGGGCTGGAGTGCAATGGCACAATCACAGCTTACTGCAAACTTCGCCTCCCAGGTTCAAGCGATTCTCCTGCCTCAGCCTCCTGAGTAGCTGGGATTACAGGCACGCACCACCACACCTGGCTAATTTTTTTTTTTTTTTTAAGTAGAGACAGGGGTTTCACCATGTTGGCCAGTCTGGTCTCGAACTCCTGACCTCAGATGATCCGCCCTCCTTAGCCTCCCAAGTCCTGGGATTACAGGCATGAGCCACTGGGCCCTGCCCGTTTTTGTTAATTAATATGCTTCTTCCTCATTATGTTAAAGCTGCATCTTGTGTGTGTGTCCTGAACCCCCACCCAGTTGGCAAATTCTTCAAAGGCAGGGGAAGTTCCCATTGTTTAGTTTCCAAGCCCAGCAAAGTGATTGGTGCTGAACTGAGTCAGACAGGCAGACTGCCTTCACCAGGGAGTCAAGAGCAGCACCTTGGTGCATGCCCAAAGCCCTTCTCCAGGGGTATCCAGTCCATCCCGTTCTTTTTGTGGCCCACAAAGCAGTACCTCCTCCTCCAGGTCTGAGAAGACTGAGGAGGGTGTTACTAGATTTCTGTGTGGCCCAGACTAGTTGATACCCTATCTGGGACTTGCTGAATAATGATAATAATAATAGCTAACATTTATTGAGCACTTACTATGTGCAGGCTCTGCTAAATACTTTATCTTGCAACGCAATCCTCATGCCAGCCTTCTAAGATAGCACTTTTATCATCCCCACTTTACAAATGAAAAAACTGAGACTCAAAATACACAGCTAGGAGATGGTAGACCTGAGATTCTGGTCAGGGCTGACTGACTTGAATCCTGTGTTTGAACTCCTAGCATATGCTGCTTCCCAAACTAGTTTGTAAATTCTTTCGAGAGCAGAGATTCTTTTTCTTTTCTGTACTCACACAGCCTAGAGGAATCCTGAGCAACAGTGGACTCTTAGCATCTACCTGTTTCCTGACTGACTGATGAGCGATCCCTGCCCATGGCAGTCAGAGATAAGAGTGACACCAGGTTAGAGAGGGATCTGGCAAAGAAGGTTTGGAGAGCTGCTTATAGCCAGGTCGATTTAGGGTGAGAGAGTGTAGGCAGAGAGGCCACTCTCAGCAGTACCCAGAAGCTTCCAGAGCATCCTGAGCAGGAAGGTGTCTTTCCCTTCTCAAGGAGGACTCTCTAAGGAATAAGGAGGCATCCAGACATAGCAAGGGCACAGGAGTGGCTATGGAGCCAAACCTCATTCAATGTCTCTGTCTTGGTGATCACTAAGAAGCCAGGGTTGCTCTTTGCAACAAGCTGCTCATCTGTTGTCCTGATTGACCTCCAGTTTAGAAAAATGCACAGTCCAACTGTTCCTACACTTCGACTGCTCTGCAGGACTTTTTCCCTCTTCCTATATTGAACATGTGAAGCGTTGCAGCCCTTTTTTTGCTAATGGCTTATGTTTTGATGTTTTACCTGTAAATCAATTATTTGGAACTGATAACACATTTCCCATAGGAAATCTTAAAGAGGTTAGGATCTCAGGTTATGTCCTAATAGTCTTATTTTACCAATTGTTTATTCATTTATTTTTTAAATTTTCTATTTTTAGAGACAGAGGCTCGCTATATTGCCTCCTACCTCAGTCTCCCGAAGTGCTGGCATTACAGACGTGAGCCACTGTGCCCAGCCTTTATCCATTATTAATAGCAGTGAGCCTGATGTACATATCACCTCCAAATAATCATGTTCATAACAGGAAAAAATATATTAGGTTGGTGCAAAGGTAATTGCGGTTTTTGCCATTACGAAACCTCAATTACTTTTGCACCAATCTAATACATTCCTAATTCTAACTCAGTACCCCAGGACAGGGTTTCCCCTACCTGAAGAAGTAGAGATTCCTGGGGATGAGGTTAGCAGTACTCTGCTACCTCATAACTTTCTAACTGGGTTTGGAGGAGAGATCAGAACTTGAGGATATAAGATCATGCCAGCCTTAGCAAGGAAGTCATGTGTGCAGAAACAACAGGTTTGCAACACAATCATTGCAGCAATGATCCAGATACACACTGATATCTGTTGATTCAGGATGACACACATGAGGGTATGAGTCACACTACTGACCTCCTCAAGACATCTTAAAAGTTCAAAGGGAGGCCGAGGTGGGCGGATCACGAGGTCAGGAGATTGAGACCATGCTCACTAACACGGCAGAACCCCGTCTCTACTAAAACTACAAAAAATTAGCTGGGCGTGGCAGCGGGCGCCTGTAGTCCCAGCTACTCAGGAGGCTGAGGCAGGAGAATGGCGTGAACCCAGGAGGCAGAGCTTGCAGTGAGCCGAGATCACACCACAGCACTCCAGCCTGGGCGACAGAGTGAGACTCCGTCTCAAAAATAAATAAATAAATAAATAAATAAATAAATAAATAAATAAATGTCAAAGGGATTTCCACCATACTCAGCTTGTTAAATCTCTGAAGTGGAAAGATCAATACTCCTCTAGCCCAACTCCATCCCAAGACTCCTTCCTATGCCTACTACTCTGTGCTGAGAGACAGGGAGTTGCAGAAGGAACTCCTTCAAGAAGCTTCTCATTCATTTTTAAAAAATCATTATAATAGCTACTTCTTTTTTTAGTACTAACTTGAGGCCAAAGGCTTTGTATGTTTTAATTTATTAAATTCTCATAAAAACCCTATGTTTAGATTTAGCTTCACTTAGAATATAAGAAAACTGAGGTTGAGCATGACTAAGTAACTTGCCTTACCTCACACAGCTAATATACGGAAAAATCAGGATTCAAAACCCAGTCTGTTGGGTGGGCACAGTGGCTCATGCCTGTAATCCCAGCACTTTGCGGGGACCGAGGCAGGCAGATCACTTGAGGTCAGGAGTTCAAGACCAGCATGGCCAACATGGTGAAACCCCGTCTCCACTAAAACATGCAAAAATTAGCCAGATGTGGTGGTGTGTGACTGTAGTCCGAGCTACTTGGGAGGCTGAGGTGGGAGAATTGCTTGAACCCGGGAGGCAAAGGCTGCAGTGAGCTGAGATGGTGCCACTGCACTCCAGCCTGGGCAACAGAGCAAAGCTCCATCTTAAAAAAAAAAAAAAAAAAAAAAAGAATGAGGGTTTTACAGTAAGCTGAACAGAGGCAAGTCATGGGAGCTTCCCCATGAAGTCATGTGGCACACAGCAGTACAGGCATGCTGAGCACAGAAAGACCTTCCCTTAGGTGCCGTCCTCACACTGGGAGCAGAAATATTACACAGATCTCATCATCCTGTAACCAGCATTGCACGCCATGTTGACTCATCATTTTGAGAATGAGTTACTTGGTTGTTAAACTGCCTCAGTCTCTAGTGAGAATTGTTAAAAAGTAAAATTTTTTCCCGAGTCTCTCCTTAGCTATTTTTCTTTCTTTTCTCTCTCTCTCTTTTTTTTTTTTTTTTTTTTTTTTTGGTTAGTAGAGACGGGGTTTCACCATGTTGGCCACACTGGTCTCAAACTCCCGGCCTCAAGCAATGCGCCTGCCTCAGCCTCCCAAAGTGCTGGGACTACAGTGTTTTTCTTTCTTGATGATGCAATACTCAGTCATAAATATCCTCTGAAATATTCTCATTGTCCTAATTAAAATAAGAAACTTTTAAGAAACCAGAAGATAGAAGCCGCTAGACCAATCCTCCCATATGAATAGAACATCAAAGTCGTTTATGAAAAAGGAAGAATTGCCGGGCGCGGTGGCTCAAGCCTGTAATCCCAGCACTTTGGGAGGCCGAGACGGGCGGATCACGAGGTCAGGAGATCGAGACCATCCTGGCTAAAATGGTGAAACCCCGTCTCTACTAAAAAATACAAAAAACTAGCCGGGCAAGGTGGCGGGCGCCTGTAGTCCCAGCTACTCGGGAGGCTGAGGCAGGAGAATGGCGTGAACCCGGGAGGCAGAGCTTGCAGTGAGCCGAGATCCGGCCACTGCACTCCAGCCTGGACCACGGAGCGAGACTCTGTCTCAAAAAAAAAAGAAAAGAAAAGAAAAGAAAAAGGAAGAATCACAAAGTTTCAGTTTGTTACAACATTAGAAAGAGTAGGAGAGAAAGAAGCATAGAAAAAGAGTACAAATAGGAAGTACGAAATAAGGTTATAGAAATGAATCCAAATTTCAGTAATCGTAATAAATGTAAGTGGATCAAACTGGCCTTTCAAAGTACAAAAAGAGTTAGAGTTTTAAATATTAGAAATCCAGATATATACTTTTTATAAGAGGCTTGCTAAACTGTAAGGATCCAGGATGACAGAAAGTATAAGTATGTAAAAAATAGAGGCTGAGCACAGTGGCTCACATCTGTAATCCCAGTGCTTTGTGGTGCTGGGAGTTGAAGACTAGTCCTGGCAACATAGTAAGACCCATCTCTAAATAACGAAAAATACAAAAATTAGCCAGGCGTGGTGGTATGTGTCTATGGTCCCAGCTACCAGGGAGGCTGAGATGGTAGACTTGCTTGAGCCCAGAAGTTTGAGGCTTCAATGAACTGTGATTGCACCACTGCACTCCAGCCTGGGTGACAGAGCAAGACTCTGTCTCAAAAAAGTAACAATAATAATAATACATTTTTTTAAATTAGCTGGTCACAGTGGCATGCACCTGTAGTCCCAGCTCCTTGGGAGCCTGAGGCAAAAGGAGTGCCTGAGCCCAAGGAGTTCAAGGCTTCTGTGAGCCAAATGCCACTG